TATACACCTTTTTTTTTTTTTTTTTTACTTTGACAAGCCAAAAACAGTTTTTTAAAGTAAATGGGTGCCTTCCACTCCTCCCATGTGTTTCTTCTTTTCACAGTCTTGCAGAAATGATGGGTGTTTCCAAAATATAAGGTCACATGACAGTAAAAGGGTACAGCTGCCAAGATACAGGGGGTGGGTCAACTTACCCACTGGCTCAACTTACTCCACTCTCCCCTATATAAATATATATATATAAAAGTATAAAATTATTTTCCATGGTGCCTGGGGAACCTGAAAGTGTCACAGCAAAGCGTTTGTAAACGGGAATTTCAACTATGGCCGAATAATTCAGCAGCTGATTACTCTACAATCACATGAGAATCAAAGTTTGACAGAGAAAGAGCTGGATGGATGAAGGTGTCTCAATGTGGAGCGGAACCTTCCCCCTTCTTTCCAGTTTCATGGACTGGAACTTCAGTTGAACTAGAACAGATTAAAGTTAAAGTTATACATGTCGTACAAGAGGGTATGGAGAGCCAAAACTTTCTGGAAAAGCACAATAACATGAAAAGTGCAATCTTTATCCATTCCATCTGTTCATTGGGGTGTACAACGAATTGCACGTTTATACACAGTAAGTCTGAATGTATACTCTATTTTGTCAAGCTTATTCCAGTTCCCACTGCTTCTCTGACTCTTTCAATCTTGTTTTTGCTTGGCTGTCATGGTGACATATGTTTAGTTCGTATCTGTCCCAGCTTCGGGCGAGCCCCCATGCTGAGTCGCTCTAGCTCTGGATGCTGCGTTGCAATGGAGAGCAGCTTGCAATTACAATAGCACTGGTGTAGTGAGCAGGTGATATCAAAACTACACTTTCGCCAACTGCCAAGGGCCTCATGCACACGATGGTAATAGTGGGCAGAAATTGATGCGTAGCACATTGTAACGTGCTTGGTCGTGTTCATCTGGTGATAAAATGCTGAGCTTAAGCAGAATAAATGAAATCTAGAACTATGTAGATTTTTGAGTGAAGTCAATGTAAAATGTACTTATTAAAGAAAGCTGTTTATTATAGTGGCGTGAATTATACAGTATACCACTGCAATGGAGTGCTGTAGGGATGACGTATATTTGTAGGCCAAAACCCAAAAATGAGTCATTGGGTTGTCATTTTATCATTTACCCATTGTTTTTTTAATGGGTTTTTGGTAATTGCCTGAAATAAGGTCTGTGGTGAACACAAGCTCAAGATATTTTCACTTTTTATTCTACAACATAAAATACATCAGTATTACCCCATTGTGATTTTTTAAGCTTTTACTTGTCTTGAAAAAGGCGGCTGCTAACAAATGGCTAAATGGGACTACAGAGGTTGTCTGGGACATTAATACGTGTTATCACAGTGAACAAGTACTCACTAGTACTCACAATACTAGTACAGGTACTCATCCACTCACTATTCACTTTCACAGCCTCCTTTTCCCAAGTCTCGCTCTTGCAAACTATTCTAAGTAAAATTTTGAAGGAATGTTTATATATATATATATACTGTAAGAGTTGTCAGAAGCTTAATGGTGGTGATGTTGAAGTCATGTGTCTGTGGCATTGTTGGTTTATAGCTTAAATTCAGTTGTGTTTATTTAGATTATCATGATGAACAAAACATGTAAGAATCATAAACTTTTGTTGGTCACAGAGTTTTGTTGGTATTTGCTGCTATATTCCAAAAGCCAATAGAAAAAATCCTATTGGGTTTTTGTCGAGGGATCCAGGGTGATGTTAACTTCTGGTTGGCCTACAAGTATACGTCATCACTGCAGCACTCTACCACTCATACTCAAGAGTTAGGGATTTGTTCAAATAATGCACTTTGGGGAATAATTCTTCCTGTGATTTGTGTTACGGACATGAATAATCTGTGAGGTGTGCTATTAGTTTCTATCTTGGGCAGCAAGTAACCACCTAGCAACAAACCGCATAGAAAACGTAGAAAACTATTCCGAACACCCTGGCATCATGATGGCGAGTTTTGCACCACTCACATTTTCTTCAGAATATATATATATATATATATATATATATAAGTGTTGTGTGTGTGTGTGTAAAGTCATCTTAAAGGCTGCTTTATACATAAACAGGAACTACGCTGCAGGCTCTGTGTAGCTGATAGCCTGAAATGCACTGCTCCAAAAATGTAGCTTTAACAGCTTCAAGCCTGTGGCCTGAGAAAACCTGGTAAAATGGTTAAACGAACACAAATTTCACATCAAACAACACAAAACAGCATCAGTTAGCTTCGTTTAATAAAAAGCATACTTTAATATTTTCGATGTCCACCTGTAATATCCAAAAGATTGTGCAGTTTACTCTGTTATAAGTACAAAAACAAAATTGAATCCAAAATCATAATGATAAACCAGAATAAATAGATTTTTTGACCTTAACCACAACCAATAGTAAAGATATGGTACATTCCTAAAATGATATGTCTTCCCTTTTCAAAACCATCTCATGACATGTCCTTGTTTTACAAGAGGAAATTATATGATTTGTTCGTGAGAATTTTTGGCACACCTATAACATTATTTGATACTTTATACTGAATAACTTAACTACACATAAACAATTTAGACATAAATATAAAATCAAGAATTCATTGACTATGCTGACAACCCCATATATATCTAAGTACATGAAAATATATATGGCACAGTAATCATGAGAGATTTTTCTAGACCACTAACTGAAAGTGTGCCACAAGAGACCAATACAACAATGCAACGGAAAAAAATAAAATACAACTGCTCAAAATGACAATTTTCAATAATGTGTTGACAGTTGTCAGTTATGATAAAATCTATAAATATTTAACTGTCTCACATGCATCTGCACGCACATGCAATTCAAGCATGGCGTGAATTGAACAGCATCAATTAACTGAAATAATACAGCCTGGAGTACACTTATTAATGTAAAAGAAAACTGACTTTTGCATGTAACAGGCCATTTGAATTCAGTCATTGGCAAATTTATAAGAGTGAACCTCAAGAAACCTGTCAAGAACATGTCTGGGTCATATTTCACCAAAACAATGTAAATATTTAAATGCACAACCTATTTTTATGATGAATTAGAAAACTAAATTTTATTTTACTAAATAATAATAATTATAATATTTCCTGTAAAAAAGTAGTGTATTTGATGTAATACAGAAAATGACTATTGTAGCAATGGAAATAACAGGCAAAAAAAGAAATTCTTTATGCAAAATATTAATTCTTATTTTGACTTTATGGTGAAATGTGACCTGGACATCCTTTTCACATATGCAAAACAGCTTCAGTGGCTGAAGTATCATTAATTCATGTCATTATTTACTGATGTCCTTGTCATAGATTTCATGTGCCAAAAATAATTTAAAGATACAGGCTTTTGAATTGAAGTGTTGAAGAATCCCTGAACTGAGCCCTGTATGCGTGATGTGTCCACAGAGCAGAATTCTCAGCAAACGCAAAAGCCAGTGTCATGCCATGGTGTATCCGTAACTCCCACAATGCAGTGCAACCAGCAAACGATCACGCAGGACGTCCTTGCTGGGATATTCTGGGAGTTTCAGCATGTTGATACTAGGAGAACAAAGAGATCAGTGATGCTACACTGTGAGAGTCAAACCAGTTTCATTACATGCACTTTTTTTTCTATTTGTTAGTCTTCCAATTCTTCAACGTTATGTTCTAAAGTAGCTCTGTGTTTACAGCTCAGAAATATCAGAAGAGCCACATTGCCCTCTAGTGCTTCTATCTGAACAACACTATCCATAAGTCTCTCACCATGTACTAGAGGTAGGCAGTAGGTTTGATGTGTAGGGCACAGCGGCAATAGTAAACTTCTGCAGACCGCTGCCGCCCATCAGAAAAGCAAATCCCCCATGAGGAACTCTTGAACTGTTATAAGAAAAAAGTATTACTAAAAAGAGAGGCACAAATCCCATGTTTTTGGCAGTGACAAATATTAGACATAGCAGATGATTTATGTAACAGAAACACTAACACAGTGTTTCTCCGTGTTAAAAATTATCTCAAATTTTTCTCAATTTTTAAAAAAATTTTCAAAAAAGAAGAAGAAAAAAAAAGCCTACAGAAGGAAAAAAAAATGGAGAGAAAAAATGGAAAAAAAAAAAATAGGATGATATGGAAGCCGGTTTCACTGTGAAATAAATAAGGTAATTGTGACTTTTTGTCATAATTTGGACTGTTTCTTGCAGTTCTGAGAAGGAATTGTCAGAATTGTAACATATAATCAGAATTATACTATGGGGCCGTCGAATGCTTGAATCTGATTGGCTGACAAACTTTCTAAAGTTTCCGATCATTTTACGCACGGCTAAAGTAGTTCCAGACAGGTCGTGACCACATTACAGTTCCCTATCACTTCGCCAAACGATTTCAGTCATTTCAAATATCCTTACAGCCTAAAACAGCAAAATAACCAAACCCCACAATGATACTGACCAAGCAAATAAATATAGTAAACTACAAGATACAAATGACTAATTATTTCCATGTTTTTGCCACAAAATTAAGTTTCATTATGTACTGAAAGCACATACTCTATTTCTCTCTCTCTCTCTCTCTCTCCCACTCAAACATACAATATTGACACACATGCACACAGAAAAGTGTTGTCAGCGCTGCTCTAATGATTTTTTTAATCAGTGAAATAGTCTAGCAAAAGCTACATGACATTTCTCACAAGCGAGGTAATAATGACACTGCTTTTGAAGAAGATTAACTTACAGTTTCACTATTAGTAGAGATGCTGTTGCCGAAAAAAAAGTTAACTTGCAATTGCAAAAAAAAAAAAAAGTTAGAATTGTGACAAAAAAAAAACCTACTACTTTTTTTTTATTCCATGGCAGAAATGAGCTACCATAGGAAAGAACTAATTCATTTTTTTCACCTTCAATTTTTATTTTTCATGTTACAGTTCAGGGTTTATGTATTGCATATCTTCTTTTTAGAAAAAGGCATATTTTTAGAAAAACAAAACATAAATAAATAAAACAAATAAATATAATTAATTTTAATCCGTGTATCATTCGATCATTCGTTTTTTGATTTAATATTGAAAGTAGAAAAATGAGAAAACGGCTCCTTTTTCTTTTTTTTTTCCAAAAAACGAAAAACGAGAATTCAGCTTAAATTTTCGTTTTTCCTTCATGGGTGGAAAAATGAATAAACAGCTTGAATATTCGATTTCTACACGTGGGCGGGAATTAAACGCCCCTTTCTGCTGATTGGTCAGCCGAAGATCAAACCGTGCCATCATCAGTTCTTCTGCAGTATCACGATTATATTATATTTATTATATTTTATGAAAATCTTGCGTTGCAGTGCGAATCTTGCGTCCTCACGCTGCGCACAAGTGCATATCCTTTTGAGATATCAATTATAATCAATTTTAATAAAACACAAAACTACATTATATAACTCTGACAGTAGGCTATTTAACATCGGTTGTTCTCCGGTTGTCAGTCAGATTGACAGTTCTTGCGTGAACATAGGCCTATATATACCCAAGTCAATTTATTATTCTTTCCTTTTTGTCTTAGTGTTTAAAATATTTATTTTGAAACAAATTAATTAATTAATTAATTTCTTAATTAAACAAACAAACAGACTTACTGGGTGAGCAGGGTAGGCTATGACCAGTGTTGGGGAAAGTTACTTTTAAAAGTAATGCATTACAATATTGCGTTACTCCCTAAAAATTTTCTCATTTTTCTACTTTCAATATTAAATCAAAAAACGAATGATCGAATGATACACAGATTAATTTTAATCCATGTATCATTCGATCATTTTATCATTCGATCAGAGATATCAATTATAATAAATTTTAATAAAACACAAGACTACATTATATAACTAACAGTAGGCTATGTAATATCTGTTGTTCTCCGGTTGTCAGTCAGATGCTATTCATTAACCTGTTTGTTTGATGAAAAAAGATTAAATGTAGTAGCAATAAATGCGTTAAGAATCCATACAACTGTCGAAAATTTAAGCTGAATTCTCGTTTTTCGTTTTTTGGGGGGAAAACAAAAAAGGAGCCGTTTTCTCATTTTTCTACTTTCAATATTAAATCAAAAAACGAATGATACACGGATTAATTTTCACATGTTTTTCAAAGCCTATTTTGTACCTCATCATTAAATTATAAATGGTCAATAGTATAATTTCTTACAGTATTTATACAGCATTTAAAGTGCCAGAATACAGCATGAGGAATTAACTTCAGTATACGTACCTTCCTGTAACAAACTGTAAGAGAAGGACTCTTTCTTCTTGAGTGAGATTTTCAACCACTTCCCAAAACCACTGCGAGAAATATACACAGAAGTCTCTAATCACAGCCTGGTTGATATTTGTCAACTGGTATATATTTTCCTGTACAATTTTAATCACCATTATAACAAACACCGCAGCCATCGGGTAGTTTAGCCTCTCCTAAGCTACTGTTCTTATCCATCTCTATGAAGCAGGATAATTGTTTTGTGCTGGTGCTGATGAGATACTGTACCTGTATAACAGGCTCCTGCAGGTCGTAGCCACTAGTGTACTCGGTGTTCTTCTTCCAGTCCATCACATCAATTTCAGGCATGCCTGACAACAGCAGTTCCTGCTCACACAAACATAAAAACATACCATGCCATCAAACACGCATACCAAGGTTCCGGCACATTCTTAACAGTTCTCCAAAAATGTCTATTCTGTCATCATTTACTCTCATGTTGTTTCAAATACACCATAACTGATGTCAAACATGGTGCAAAGCATCTTGTGGCACCGTGTTTTAAGTGCACAAGGAAAGAGGTAGTTCAGTTTGACAGCTAAAATTTCGTAAAACGTTTAGTAAACATTTTATCTGACAAAACTATTGATCACAAAATTATTTTATGTCTTTAGAAGACTTTATTTATTTGTGTTCCAGTCCTCTCTTTATTATATGGAAAGTAGTGTGAACATTCTGCAAAACTTATTTTTCGTGGTAGAAAGAACAAAGAACATTACAATTACATGGATGCGATAAAATCATGACAACTTATTTTTGGGGTGAACTATTTCTCTAAAACATACATAAAACTACTGAATCTCAAAACAGCTGTGACTTTGGGCAAACACTAACAAGACTTGTGTGAAGGGATAGTTCACCCAAAAATGAAAATTCCGCCACCATGTACTTGTTCCAAACCTGTATGATATCTGTATGATCTTATGTTGAACACAGATATTCTGAAGAATACTGGTAACCAAACAGTTGACAGTAGCCACTGACTTCCATAGTATGGGAGAAGAAAAAAAAAAAAAAATCCTTTTATTATTTAAATTTTTTTTTTGTGTGTTCATCAGAAGAAAGTGCTAAATTAATAATGCAATACTCCAATGTCCACAAAAAAATATTCAAAACATTCTAAAGTTTAAAGTCAGTAAGATTTTTTAAAATGTTATATTATGTCTCTCATGTTCACCGATGCTTGCTTGCTTTATTTATTTATTTATTGATGTATTTATTTATTCATTCATTTAAAATACAATAAAAACAGTAATATACTGAACTATTATTACAATAAAAAAAGTTGATTAGAATTTTTTTTTTTTTATTCCTGTGATGCAAAGCTGTATTTTCAGCATCATTACGTATGTGCTTGTAAAAGGAGCGTGTGAAGTAGATGTTCACCAGCTGTCGATGATAGAGAGCCAGACCCAGGATTTGACCAGCAAATCCGAAGTAGTTTAGATGATCTGGGTTTACAGAAGAATTGCTGTTGGGTTGAAACGTGGTACCTGTTAAAAGAAATGCACACATAAGCATGCAAAACATAAATATAAACATTTCAAAAACACAGTGTATCTGAAACAGTGTATCTGCATTAATCACAGAGGAGACGTTTTTCTACAGGCAGAGTCCCACTAGCCAATTTCTTTGCTGATTTTCAGTCATAAGCATTCATTTTCACAGTCAAGAGTCAGAGGCAACATCCACATCTCTCAGCGGGAGGACGTTAATGGCCCAGGCGACTCCCTGTAGAGCTCATAGCCCTGCAGACCCTCAGCCAACATCAAGCTTCCCCTTGGCAGTGACCAATGAGCTTCTTCACACACTGAAAAATTGAAAAGCCATCGTCTGGCTTCAGACTGTTCCATGGTGGGCTCTCCTGCACTTCTGTTGTTAAAGAATATAGATCTTTTTTTCCCATTAAATCTGCGCATATAATTTGTATTGTAATGGTACGGTTACATTTACTGTTGTTCAGCGACTTTTCATGAGTGAAATCCAGTAATTTCAATAGGAAATCACAGAACTTTTTGTGGGAGTGAAAAGATTTCCCCACGCAGATTTGCAAATGGGTTCAAGTTGTTCACACAGATTCGCCACAAAATGGTTTTAATGTGATCACACCTACAGTATTGTAAACACTTTGAAACAACGCGACTTTAAAGGGACAAACACATTTCCGCTGTTCAGCGAATTTTCACAAACAAAATCTAATCATCTAAATATGAATCCACGAGATCAGGAATTTGGTGGGAAGGTGAAAATTCACAGAAAGCTTGGTTGGTGAAAGTGACTCGTGAGTTGGGTCTCATACATTGCTACACAATGGCCTGGTTTCACACAGGGCTTAGACTAAGCTAGGATTAAGCCATAGTTCAATTAGGATATTTAAGTAATTTGTATAAACGTGCCTTAGGAAATAACATTACTGGTGTGTGTCTTGAGACAAAATAAAGGCACTGATATATTTTAAGATCAGTCAGTGCAAGTTTATTTCAGTTAAAACAGCTCAGACTTACATTTTAGTCTGGGACTAGGCTTAAGTCTTGTCTGTGAAACAGGGGGTATTATAATAGCTAAAGAATGGAGTTTTTTTGCTTGTGACCACACACACACACACGCAAACACCTACTCATAGAGCATTACATGAATTGCATCCTTATCTGTCAGTCCATTTCTTTATTAATTACTGAGTGTGACAGATCACCAACAGAAGAGAGCGATATTTCAGAAATAAAAGCTGATAGTTGCAGCACCCCGACCCGTATTGTACATGAGATTTAATTTACCATCGGCTGATTGTGTAAACAGTGCATAGTCCGGGTTGATGATCTCATTGGACAGAATGTCAAACCACTCTCTGACCACCCCCTGACCCTGAGAAAAGGACAGAATAAAGTCATTCACTGCATTAATCCTAGATCTACTCCACTGCAGCAAAATATCAGAAAAACAATACTTCAAAATCTGGCAAAATAGCCAATACATGCATAATATGCACAAATATGAAGCTATCACAAGTACACTCTAATCTGGCAAAATAGCCAATTTATGCATAATATGCTTTTATATGAAGCTATCACAAGTACACTCTTGAGTAACAAACTAAAAAAAAACAACAAACAAAAAAGTGCATGTGATATTAACAGACAAACTACGCTCGTATTTATAATCCCAAACAATCAGTAAGTGACAGGTGCTAGGAAATGCAACCTCTTACATACACTAGTATGTGTAAGTGTTAAGTAGTAGTATGTGTAAGTGATAAGTGTTTTCACTAGTGTTTGTAAGAGGTTTTCAGTAATGCGTATGAATGAATTTCACAAAGGTTGATCAATGTTTTTAATTTCACTAGTGTTTGTAAGTGGTTTTTCAGTAATGCATATGAATGAATTTCACTAAGGTTTATCAATGTTTTTCGTTTCACTAGTGTTTGTAAGAGGCTTTTCAATAATTATGGCCTATACGGCCCCTCATAGTTTTGTACTCATTTATTGACGAGTCGGCTGCGGTGCGGCCAACTGAATTCGCTGCTTCTCTGCCGTTCACTGCACAGAACAGACGCCGAGAGAGGTGACACTTCTCCGGGAAAGTCAGACCTTGTGTTCGCGGGACAGCACTGGCGAAATCTTCCAACTGAATCATAGCTAAGGTTTATCCAAAAAAAGTCGCTAGGTTTGTCAGTATGAATATTCTATGGAAAAAAGCCGCTAAAAGGGTGTGAAAGTTGCTAAATCTAGTGCTAAAGTCGCGCTTGTGTGTGTGAGACGCGGGAGCTGATGGCAGGGGGCGGTGGATATTTGTGGCGGTCAATGTGGATATTGTGGATGAGTTCTTCTGTGTCATCACGTTCTATTAGTTCTACATCTTCAGTTTCTGAACTTTCACGCTTAGTAACACATACAGCTGTTCCCTCACCACAGTGCAACAGTGAAAAGGGACCCCTTTCAAACCCCTTTCCGAACGTTGTTTAAGCGGTATTTTAAAAATTCATATCATAGCAAAAATAAACACCGGTATTCGGTATGAACCGGTATACCGCCCAGCACTAATTCAGCTCCAATAAATGGTTTGCAAAAAAGAGACACAGGATATATGTTTGATATCATTATTTAATCACATTGGAATAAAAAAGAATCGGAATCGATAAGCAGATTTGGAATCGGAATTGATAAAATTCAAACGATACCCAACCCTACCCGTAAGACCTCCGTTCATCTTCGGAACACAAATTAAGATATTTTTGATGAATTCTGAGAGCTCTCTGACCCTCCCATAGACAGCAATGTAATTACCACGATCAAGGTCCAGAGACGTAGCAAGGAGATCGGTAAAATAATCCATGTGACATCAGGGGTTCAACCGTAATTTCACGAAGCTACGAGAATACATTTTGTACGCAAAGAAAACAAAAATAATGACTTTATTCAACAATTCGTCTCCTCCGCGTCACCCTAGCGCCATTTTGGAGAGTATCCACTGAACATAAACGGCGTATGCTATTCTGTGTCAGCTGCGCCACGCGGATTATTGGAAAATTAATTATTTTACCAATCTCCTTGCTACATTTCTGGACCTTGATCGTGGTCATTTCATTGCTGTCTATGGGAGGGTCAGAGAGCTCTCAGAATTCATCAAAAATATCTTAATTTGTGTTCCGAAGATGAACGGAGGTCTTATGGGTTTAGAACGACATGAGGGTGAGTAACAGAACATTGACATGATAGAACACAGAATAGAACATGACATGACAGAATTTTCATTTTTGGGTGAACTATCCCTTTCATACTACTTACATTCACATCCCATTAGACTTGTGCCAGTATTCGGTAATGCGATATATCACGGTAATGAATATGCACGATATTGTTATCGTGGGCACTTCTAAATACCGTGAATAATTATATCTAACAAATTATTCAGAATTTTGAATGCATTTAAATGTTCAGTTATTTTTGTTATAAGAAAAAAGTTAAATAAACCTGTTAGACTGTATGATGACAGCACTTTTTTTTAAAACTAAATTTCAATATCGTGATAATACCGTATACCGTGATAAAAGCATTAGCAATTAATCGCAACATGAAAATTTGATACCGGCATATCCCTACATCCCATATAGAACATACTTTTTTTGAAGAGATTCCCGGTTGAAATATTCAAGCTTACCATTCCCTCTTCACCATGGAACCGCACTGCAATGCCTTGTTTGAGTTTCTCATTGGAGGATTTGGATACAACGTCACAGCTGCTTCGGAATATTGAATCTGAAATACAATTATAAAAAATGAACGAAGGATGTGAAGGCTGAAAGATGGAGGAGCTTTTGAACAGATAATACAGAAAATGTGCTACCTCTGTGAACAAGAAGAATGTCATTTTCATTAACTGGCCGGTGCACCATATCTGAGTCTGGCTGTCCGGCCAGAAGATGTTCATAAAACCACTCACACCTGTCTTTAAATGGCTGAGAAAAGAGAGGTAAACAAAGACCTATTAAAACATGATTACATTCATTAAACCCTGCTGCACTTGCATCCTAGATGAATAGGCCAGAAACATATTTTACACAAGGAGGCAAACGCAGAACTGAACGCTTGTTCAGTGCATTGCAAGCACACAGCCCCAATGATCTTCAACTTCAGTAGGTCAAACTAAATATTATATGAGCCATTTTATTTTATTTTATGAGGTTTGCAATTTATGCAATCATATTATCATGTCTACAGTTTTTACAGTCTAATTTGTGTGATTTTTGTGATTTCTATCAAATGAAAATTAAATGGATACATTTCTAAAACTAATACATAAAATCACTACACCAGGGTTGAAAACTTCAGGATGTTAAAAGTCTAAATTAAATTGTCACTCACTAGATCATAGTCAGTTTGTTCACTGATGTCACTTTTTGAGCAATACAAATATTATTAGTCATATTATTGTTAATATTAAAATACTTTTTGTAATAAGTGGAAAATTGTCTGGCAACAGAGCTGTGCAAAAAAAGGTGGGGCAAAGCTTAAATATTATATTTTGACATAATATTTTGATATTTTGATCCTGTTAGCATGTCTACTGATTTTTATCAAATGAAAATGAAATGTACAACATTATAAAATAAAATACAACCTACATTAGGATTGACAACTAAAATTGTATTTAATAATATTGTTTATATTAAAATATATTTTGAAATAGGTGGAAAAAAAATCTAGCAACTGAGCTGTGCAAAAAAAGAAGAAAAAAAAGCTGGTACACAACTAAATATTATATTTCTGACAATTAAGTTTAGTTTAAGTTTACTTTAGTTATTAAAATATCCTTCACTAAAATTGTATACGCAATGGTATTCAGCGATTAAAACTGTATAGCAGTGCCATAATTTGAATTGATAAAACCTTGAGAACATATAAATGTAAGGAATTATTATTATTATTATTATTAGAGATGGCACAGCACTAGGACCACCATTTTAAGAAGAGGGATACAAATTTGTTGTATTAAAATTAATTGAAATTATAATTTTCATGTAATGATAATCTTAATTTAGATGACCGTTTATCAAACATACAGTATATATACACATCTAATGCATTTAGATGAAATATTATGAAGACAAATATTTTACTCTTGAGAATAACATGTAATTTTGATTTTATTGTGACTCCTTTGTTCAGGCCCTGTGGAAACTGTGGATCAGTGACAGGATCTGCTCAGCAAACTGTACATCAGCTCCAAGAGCAATTCAGTCTCTCGTCATGCTTACCTGTCCTTTAATAATATGCATGAAGCGGGACATGAGCTCAGGACATTCCAACAGGAAGTGGAAATGGTTGAAGATGATTTTGGGATTCCTGGGAACAATAAATGAGCAATTGTGAGAAAGTGTTTTAAAAGCACAGGCCTAAACATGTAGATGTGCACACATACATAAACACCACTAGCCTTAAACTTAAGGTTAAAGGAGAAGTCTACCTGAAAATGAAACTCTATCATTATTATCTACTATTGTACTATTACTCATCCGTGTGTCATTCCAAACTTATGCATGTTTGCCTATTTTTAGTAGAAATATTGAAAGAATTTTAATGCAGCTCTTTCATAGTGCATCTAGCCTAAGTGTTTGAAACCAGAATTGGTGTGTTTAGTTACTATGAGATTATGAGATGCCATTAAAAAATGCACATGAGCAGTAAGCTTCATTGGATGAGATGCTTTTAAGTTAATAACAACATTTATTTTTGGTCAGTTTTGTTCATCACACATGAGTTCACAAAACTTTGATTTTTTCCACATACACTACTGTTCAACACATATTCACTATTAACTAAGAGTTTTCCCTGAACAAACTCCAAAATTGCTGCTTATTAATAGTTAATAAGGTAGTTGTTAAGGTTAGGTATGGAGTCGGATTAAGAGATCTAAAATATGGACATGCAGAAAAAGTACTTTATAAGTACTAATAAACAGCCAATATGTTAGTAATATGCATGCTAATAAGAAACTAGTTAATAGTGAGAATTGGACCTTAAAATAAAGTGTTACCAACTTTTGCTCAAGGCAGCATTTACATGATAAGGAATACAGTAAAAACTGTAATATTTTGAAATATTCTAGTTTTCTATTCTAATATATTAAGCTACATTTTCAGCAGCCATTACTCCAGTCTTCAGTGTCACATGATGCTTCGTTCTAATATGCTGATTTGCTGTTCAAGAAACATTTCTTATTAATATCAATGTTGATAACATTTGTGCTGCTTAATGTTTTTTTCGTGGAAACTGTGATTTAATGCGTTCAAGCTGAACAAAAGTATTAATTTCTTTAAAAAAAAAAACATCTTACTGACCCACAACTTTTTCAGTGATTGTGTACATCATCTACAGCTAGCATGTACAGCTAGTGTACATCTTTCTTTCTCTCCTCTTATTAAATAAATGCATTTAAATAAACACTCTCGACTTACCTTGTCACAAAACACTTGAGCACTTCATCATGCTTACAGACAAACTCGATGAATCGAGGGGAGGTCATGCTAGATATCAGGGAAGAAAGAAGAGTATGCATGGTCTCAGACTTGCCAATGAGAGTCTATAAATTATGCATTAATTAAAGAGTGATTTAATGGTCTAATAACATAATCATTAGAAAGGCAGTGGGGTCAGGGTGAGGAGACATTATGAACACTCACACCGAACGAGCTCATGAGTAGACGTCTATTAAAACACTATTCTTGTACTTTCCATGAACTTCACAGGGGTCACATTCCACACTTCTGAAGCTTTTAGCTCCACTTATAAAGTTCACATGCTTTTATCCAAAGCGGCCTACAGTGCATTCAAGCTATACATTTTGTCACTATGCGTGGAATCAAACCCATGACATTAGCAATGCCAGCACCATGGTCATGATCTCATAACTATTGAGATTTACGAACAAGCTGTTCTCTGCAGTTTCGTTTCTAAAATTGTCTTTGTGAAGTGGAAAGAAACTTTTTAAGTTTGGGGTCAGTCTTACCCACGTGGCATCTGACAGGAACAGCACATGTAGAAGGCCTGGATCACAGCGCTCAGGCGATTGGCTATCATAGAGATGACATCCTGACCATCGGCGTAACCCTCCGGCGTCTTCATCACCGACTTGGCGTCCAGCAACAGTGGGGGATTTTCGCTGGAAACGGAGGGGTCGACCTCCTGCTTTTTCAGGAAAAGTGACGCAATGTCATTTCCTGAGGATGAGGTTGTTGCGTCTGTGCTCTCCTTATCCAGCTCGGTGGAGATGAGGACCAGCCATTCATCAAGAGAGTGCCACAACAGCTCCAGAGGCTAAACAGCCAAACAAGAGAACATCACTTCAACAAAGACGTGCTACACAAGACGAGAGCAGGCGAGACAGCTTTGGTATTTCCAATTGTGAGAGACTATTCCATTCTACAGCAGCCTGCATGTTCATCTATGCAATGTTCGATGCTAGGGTGACGTGATATATTGATATTTACAATATACGCTATATGACACTGTGAATATCTGTCTGATCTTATTAGAATCCTTGTGTCGTGACTTCCATGGAAATGTTAAGACAGATATTTTAATCATATCTCAGGCTAAAACATCAACTTGAAAGACATCAACAAATTTGGCAGGTTTGATTCATTTTCGTAAATCGAAGTCTCTTTTTGACACAGACTCAGTCAAAAATGTTCACTGAAGTCTCTGAGTGGAAGTTGGTTTAAAGGGGTCATATGATGCGATTTCAAGTTTTCCTTTCTCTTTGGAGTGTTACAAGCTCTTGGTGCATAAAGAAGATCTGTAAAGTTGCAAAGACTAAAGTCTCAAATCCAAAGAGATATTCTTTATAAAAGTTAAGAGTCAACCACGCCTACCTAAAACGGCTCGTTCTAACACGCCCCCACATATCTACATCACTATGTGGAAATATTAGCATAATGCCCCCCAAATGTGCACGCAAAGAAAGAAGGCGTGGTTTCAGGAACAGCAGTAGTGTTGATGCAGCCATGTCAGGGAGACGCTGTGTGTTTCAGTGCGAAAGCAAAAGCACTTTATTTGGCCTTCCGAAAGTAGATGCAATTAGGAATCTTTGGTTAAGATTTATTTACAACAGAACAGCACAACCCAGATGTTCGAATTTGTGCAACGCATTTTATGGACGACAGTTTTTTGAACCTAGAAGAGTACAAGGCTGGATGTGCAAAAAGGCTATTTCTAAAAAAAAAAAAAAGGGTCAATTCCGACTTTGCTATGACAATCTGGCGCTTCTGAATCAGCGACTGTAAGTATGTTTTGTTATTAGTTTAAGCATTTGCTATTGACTGTTCAAATGCGGAGTTTTGCGCAGCGCAGAGTTCTGACGCGTGCTTGTGGTGTTCGGCCAATCACAATGCACTGGGTCAGCTGGCCAATCAGAGCAGACTGCGCTTGTCGGAAGGAGGGACTTTGTAGAAAACGAAGCGTTTGAGAGAGGCGGGGCATAGAGGACCTACAATAATGTACAGTATTTGAAAAATAATGTGTTTTTTGAACATTAAAGCATGTCAACATATTCTGTTACACCAAATACACAAAATAACGATCTTTAAAATAGCATCATATGACCCCTTTAAAACGGTTTAGTAAATATGGCTGTTATTTCAAGTTTAAGCATTTTTGGCTTTTCAGAAACGTAACTCTTAAAATACTTTTTACACTCTCACTAGTTATTGTGTTTGACTGCATTGCGTGGTGAAAATGCTATTTAAATTTGTGTCTAAAGCCAGTTTGAAACTGTAGGTAGCATTTTATGTTTTTAATGCTTTTTTTTTTTGGCATAATTTGGCAGAACGAATTCATTTGGCAGCTTGAATTCATGTAAAATAAAAAGAATCAGTTCACAAAAATATGTTCTTTTATTTTTATTCATTTTTCTTTAAATATGACACAGTTATAACCTTGTAAACAAATACATTCAATTTTGATAATACTTTATTAGTTGCATAATGTTCCTTTGTGATATAAACAATGCTTGTGGGACAAACACACAAACAAGCAAATAAATAAATGAAAGGTTTTTATTTATTTATTTTTTTGGTACAATAAATATTGGCTTTTTTATTTCATCCATTAGACCAACTTAAATCATCAAAATTTTAAACATGTTTAAAATGTATATTTTTATGATGGATTGTCAGAGTTTAATATTGAGTGTATGTCTGGGTCTGGGACAAGGATAAATCAATTAAATCTATACATAAATGCAACTGTGTAGCCAAAAAGTTTTTAAGTATTAAGTAAACTGTATTTTAGTTTCATTAAACATTCTGAATCTACAATATCAGTTTGAGCATATTAATCATAATTTTATGCATGTCTTATGTTTTCAGTCTAATATGCCAAATCTATCATATTGTCCACTGATTAATGCATGCTACAAGAACCAAACATTTTGGCCAAACACAACATCACTTTCTTTAAGTATTTGAACATTTATAATTAACATTTAAGTAAGATTTATTGGCAATGTAATGCCCACTGACCTTAAACACCTGGTTACGTGGTGTCTTGTTTCCGTTGTAACCCATGTCATTCCCGTTGTTTGGGGAGGACGGCCCAAGACAGAACACATGACAGAAGATCCGGATAATTCGGAGCAAACTCTTTGTTTGGACCTCAAAGTTACTGGACAAACTGAATGGAAACAGAGCGAGAAATAACTTTGCTTAAAGGAAGTTCTAAGTAATACAATTCCTCAAGAATCATGGATGACATAGCCTGAGACACACCTCAGCAGTTTATGTCCATTTGTGGTGGCCACCTCAGCCAAGCTGGTCAAGATCCTTTGATAGCTGGAGTCACTCTGCTGTGAGACATGTTCTAGAACCTGCCTTAACTTAAAAATCATATTCAAAATCACTTATGCACATAAACACATCAAGAAACATAGATGGAGAAAAAGAGACATACCATGTTCTCTTTAATGTCATCATTTTGGGTCATCTGTATCAGTGTCTGAAACAGTCTGCTATGGTGCTGGATGAGAATTTCACATGTTTCGCCATAACCACCCTAAAAGTAGTTACATATGAGCTTTAGTATCATTCCTATGAGTACCTGAGTGTGTGGATATAATGTACGCATGCTGCATTCACCTGCACACACAGGTCAAGCGGTGTAACCCCATTCTTGTCTGGCAAATACTTGGCTCCCCTGAGGAGCAGTATCTGTGCGGTGTCCCTCTGACCATGACTGCAATACAATGACAAAACCTCGTAAATTGCATGAATATCAACATCTTCCATCCATGGGAACAAGTTTAGATCCCACAAGTTCTTAAGTGCATCATGAACACGGCAGATTTGAATGGGTGAAAGTACAGATTTTAAGTAAATGATGACTATGTTAATGATCAGAATCAGAATGTTTTGTTCTGATCCTCACACAAAGCTATCAAAATGGTTTGGATGACTTGAGTTCGAGGCCTGGCTCAAGGGCTCCTTCCCCAGTCCGGTGTTCCTGCCTCTCTCCACCATTACTATTAAGGCAAGAGTGCTGAAAAAAACTAAAAAGGGCTTGGATGTAGCACACAAATCATATGGATTAATGCCAGAAAGTATGCAGGTATGCATTAAATGCACTCTTCCATAAAGTGGGTGAAGAGCTACCTTCAAATGACTGTCATTAAACTGAGTTATTATTTATGTAGCTAGCTGTAAACATGTTAACAGTTAACTAACTCATTCAGCGACATTCTCTTTATATCAGCAGTTGTCAATGTTTCTAACTAATATCCAAAGACCCCCTGGACCTAGTTTTGTCTTATCTGTCGAAACACAATGACACTTGAATTAAGGATGCACGATATTAGATTTTTACCGATATCCGATATATTTCAACTCATTTTGGCCGATAGCCGATACCAATATACATTTCCCTTTGTCTTGGTTAGTTTTGAGCAAAAACTAATTTGTTAGAACTAATAAATATTATTAAAATATTATTTTAAAAACAATAACGAGAGCGCATTGATTTTATAATTTTTTTTCTCAGACAGATGCAGTTGAAACCTTAACATTTTATTTGTGGATTTAACATTAATAGATGGTCTAAAACAAAAGAGCTGTAAAAATTAAAAAACTATTTTAGAGTGTTTAAGTTTTCATAATCCATTTGAAAAAATATATTACATATTTAATGAATACATCTGTATATATTAAATTATTTAATTTACAAGTGTCATGTTTGTGATTTTTAGTCAAGTAAGCTATAGCTTCTGACCTTTAAATCAAAACAGACTCGTGATGTTATGACATCGATACTGCTTTATTTATTCAGAAACACACGTATCTTAATGATATTTGTGTATTTTACTTTCATTTTATTACAAGTAGGCCAACAGAGCCCCCTAAATAAATAAAAGGCCTTACCGGAGGGGCATTAGGACCCAGGGGAGGCTGCTGCTGTTGACTCTATCGCACACTGGATGCGTCGTTCTGTATGTGCATTCTCAAATTAAATGCGATGAAACAGATGCAGTTGAAACCTTAACATTTTATTTGTGGATTTAACATTAATAGATGGTCTAAAACAAAAGAGCTGTAAAAATTCAAAAACTATTTTAGAGTGTTTAAGTTTTCATAATCCATTTGAAAAAATATATTACATATTTAATGAATACATCTGTATATATTAAATTATTTAATTTACAAGTGTCATGTTTGTGATTTTTAGTCAAGTAAGCTATAGCTTCTGACCTTTAAATCAAAACAGACTCGTGATGTTATGACATCGATACTGAGTGAATCTAATCATCATTCAGGCAAAAGTTTGCTTCAAGAATGAGCACACTGCTGACATGATCTTACATGCAATGCATATCGGGCATCTTTTTTTTTTCAAATCGGCTCATGCCGATTTTTGTATTTTAAGCATTTATCGGCCGATTCCGATAACGTTTCGATAACGTGCCTAACGTGAATCAAATTTTGGTATCTTAATGATATTTGTGTATTTTACTTTCATTTTATTACAAGTAGGCCAACAGAGCCCCCTAAATAAATAAAAGCCCTTACCGGAGGGGCATTAGGACCCGGGGGAGGCTGCTGCTCTTGACTCTATCGCACACTGGATGCGTCGTTTTGTATATGCATTCTCAAATTAAATGCGACGAAACAGTGAATCTAATCATCATTCAGGCAAAAGTTCACTTCAAGAATGAGCACACTGCTGACATTTACTCAAAAGAAATGCATATCGGGCAAACGTGCCTAACATGAATCAAATATGCTTAGCTAGACATATTGTGCTTATATATTTGCATACAGTATATTTCTTTTTCCATCCTTTTTGTAGCATGACTGGTTACCATCTTTTTTCACTGTACAGCTCAGACATTCTGCAAAATAACTCTTCAGCATTGTATTGCACACTTATAATTAGCGATGCATCGGTATCGGGCCCGATACTGGTCTCCTGTATTCGTACTCGTTAAAATGCCCCGATACCAAACGCTGATATCGGGCGAGTACTGGAAAAAGTGGTATCGATGCATCCCTACTTATAATGAAGGCAGTGCCATTCCCCGAACCAGAACAAATGTGTATGGTTGATTTACAACACATTAGCATCACAAAAATTGGTATGAAATTACAAGAGTCAGAACAGGCCCAGATTTCCTGTTTTAAAAACCTATTAAGCGTATGTTTAATTACTCTATTTAATTATCTGTTGTGAGGCATGTTAGTGTTGATCACATCGCCATCAGCCTTGAGTGGACTGATATCAGTGGCAAAATGTAATCAAAACAAGATACGGATGGAGTGCTGTTGCTCAGCAACCAAACTCATGTGAGCGTATCCAAAGCAGTGCACTCAGAATACCAACTGTGGCACATCTTCATCAGACTACATTCTTATTAGCCTTACAGCAAAGAAAGTTGAATGTCCTTGTTCTTCTTGTCAAACTCACAAGAAAGCTGTGTGTTTAAAGGATATACACTGGAAAAATATCTGTACAAACCCCTAATTTTCCTAATTATGTTTCTTGTGTAGTCAGAAAGCGTCCAGATTCAGTCACTGAATGGAAGTTAATTTTCTTAAGGGGTCACATTCTAGTGGTTGGCCACACATTTCCAGTTCAGGCCGGAGTGAAATAAACAGTAATCATGGTAAACATTATACATTTGCATTGGCAGCTGGTAGTTCTCGGGTTGATGATGGTTAGCTGCTCACCTGCAGGCGAAATAGAGGGGAGTCGCTCCAGAGACATTGGGCCTGTTGATGTCCGCTCCACTGTCCAGAAGACACTGCACTGTCTGTGAGAAACACAAAACATCACATGAACCTTAAAAAATAAAATAAAATCCTTCTTCTGAACTTCATTGGCTGGCAATCCTGTAATCAAGTTATGGAGTCAGAGAGTTTTCGTACAGTCTTGTGTCCATTCTGGCAGGCCACATGTAAGGCTGTCTGGCCCATGGCGTCCTCCACGTCCACATTAGACACATGCTGCACCAGGTCATGAAGTAGCTCTGTCCTTCCATTCACTGCCAGCCAATGAATCTAATGGCATGAGAAAATGAGACAAATAATGAAATACTAGTAAAAACAGTACTACATTAGTATAAAAAAAATAAAAATAAAATAACACTATATATACACATTAGACATTTAGCCATTGTTAAAATACATAAATAAATACCAGTCAAAGGTTTGGGCATACTTTCAGGAATTCATGTGTCTGATGGTCTAGGCTACTGCTCAAATACTTGAATTTAGTTTAATTAGCAGGCTTCCAGCATACATATCGGTCATAACTGTTTAAAAAATAAAGGCAACTGGCAACTTTGTTTCTTTTGTGTTATTTCACAGCTTTGATGACTTTACTATTATTATAAAATACAGTATTAAAAAAAA